ACCTCATGAGGTTCAACAAGGCCAAGGGCACCTGGGTGTCCTGCACGTGGGTCAGGGCAACCCCCAGTACCAATACAAGCTGGGGGGTGAAGGGATTGAGAGCAGCCCTGCCGAGAAGGACTTGGGAGTCCCTGATGGATGAAAAGCTGGACATGAGCTGGCAATGTGCACTTGCAGCCCAGAAGGCCAACCCTATCCTGGGCTGCATCCGAAGCAGCGAGGCCAGCAGGTCGAGGAAGGGGATTCTGCCCCTCTACTCTGCTCTGGGGAGACCCCACCTAGAGTCCTGCGTCCAGCTCCGGAGCCCTCAGCAAGGGAAGACATGGACCTGTTGGAGCGGGTCTAGAGGAGGGCCACAAAAATGATCAGAGGGATGGAGCACCTCTGCTGTGAGGACAGGCTGAGAGAGTTGGGGGTTGTTCAGTCTGGAGACGAGAAGGCTCTGGGGAGACCTTACTGCAGCCTGCCAGTACTTAAAGGGGGCTTCTAAGAAAGATGGGGACAGACTTTTTAGCAGGGCCTGTAGCGATAGGACAAGGGGTGATGGTTTTAAACTAAAAGAGGGCAGATTTAGTCTCAGTGTAAGGAAGAAATTTTTCACAATGAGGGTGGTGAAACACTGGCACAGGTTGCCCAGAGAGGGGGTAGATGCCCCATCCCTGGAACCATTCGAGGTCAGGTTGGATGGTGCTCTGAGCAACTTGATCTAATGAGAGATGTCCCTGCTCATTGCAGGGGGCTGGACTAGATGACCATTAAAAGTCCCTTCCAACCCAAAGTATTCTATGATTTTATGATCTTGCTCTTACCAGGCTCCTGAACTTTTTACTTTCAGTACTTCTCACATGCTGTCCTTGACTCCTTTTGTGGACAATAACCAGAAGCACAGCTTTAGGGAAAAAAAAAAAAGTCTTAGAGCACTAACAGTGACTCTTTTCTTCTCCAGATGTGCTTAAATAACTGGCCCACCGTTTGGGGATGAGACCAAAACTCCCAACTATAGACCATTTTTATGCATCATTACAAGAATAATACGCCCATACCCAACAGGGTCTTAAAGCTACCTTTTGCCTTTTCAGCTTGCTTTCCTATGGAAACATGAAAAAGAAAAGACCTTGAAGGCAAGTTTAAAATATTTCCTTTCAGTTGTAGAATCTCTCAAAATGCCTTTCAACTCCAGCAACCAGGGACCTGGCTAAACTATCCTCAAGTCTTCAAGGAATGCTCAGATTTTTGATGTAGTAAATGGAAAAATAGTATATGGTTAATTGGTTTTGTTCTTAGAGAGGAGTACAATGCTGCAGGGTGAAATAACGGAGGCAAAACATGCCAGAAACTGCTTTGCTAATGTTTAGCTAATGCTAACTCTTGAATGTTGTCAGAGCATCCTTCTTGGTGGAGAACAGGTCTCCTCCCTATGCACTTCACCTAAGAAGTGGAGTACATTTTTTGTTTTGGAGTTATTGTCCTGGCTCAGACAGTAGAAGAAATCTGTCTGCTGCAGGAAAGATTAACATATAAGGTAATTTTCAAAGGGCAAGGGGTTAATTGTCGTATGCTGGGTACTCTGCTGTAGGACCTAGCCTGCTTGTTTGTACCATAAAGAGTTCATTTAAAGTTACTTTGGGGAACATCTCCCCTTCACTACTGCTTGCCCCCTCTAACTTCACAGAATCATAGAACAGCCCAGGCTGGAAGGGACCTCGAAAGACCACCTAGTCCAACCTTTCATGGGAAAAGGAACATAGGTGAGATTATCTAGCACCCTGTCCAATCACATATTGAAAACCTCTAGTGATGGGGACTCTACCACGTCCTTGGGGAGGTTGCTCCAGTGATTGATTGTTCTCATTTTAAAAAATTTCTTTCTTATATTGAGATGAAACCTCTCATGGTGAAACTTGTACCCATTGCCCCTTGTCTTGACAGCCTCTGTCCTCTTTGTAGCCACCCTTTAAGTACTGGACTACTGTAATGAGGTCACCCCTGAGCCTTCTGTTCTCCAGGGAGAAAAGACCTAACTCCTTCAGCCTTTCCTTATAAAGCAGGTTTTCCAGCCCTTTGGTCATCTTCATGGCCTTCCTCGGGACCCTCTCCAGTCTGTCTGCATCTTTCTGGCACTGTGGGGACCAGAATTGGACACAGTACTCCAGGTGCAGCCTGACAAGCACTGAGAAAGGCGGGATGGTCACATCTCTATCTCTGTTAGTAACTTGTCACAGAAGTAGCATGAAATGGTTTTGAAAAAGACTGAATATTTGTTCCGCAGAACAGACAAGATTTAGCAGCCTATAGACTATCTTTGATATAGGTAAACTGCAAATTAAAACATTATATGTACTTACATAACTTGTATCTAATTCACAGGATTAGAAATTTCAGATGGTAAACTTCTGCCTCCCAACCAGGAAGGTTAGATATGAAAATTATTACATACCAAAGTATGTGGAAGTGATTTTTTTTGAAGAATATAACCTCCTGCATGCATTAACTTCAGGGCACCAGCTACCATCAGGAAAAAACATATAGCACCTGCGATTGTGACTGTATAATAACCTGCAAGTGAAAAAACCAAACAAACATATATGAATGAAGTTTCCATTGACCACATTGCATATTTCACATTCAGAACAGCTATTTAGAATCACAGAATACTTTTGATCAGAAGGGACCTCTGGAGGTCACCTGGTCCAAAGTTAAAACAAGACCAAATCTCAAACTAAATTCAGGAATTAAAACTAAAAAATTACACCATCTTTGATAACTATTTATGCAGTTAGTGGAGATTTGTATGGCTCACAGGATTAACAATAGATTAGTAGCTCCAAAGTGGATGGAGTTTTATATTTCACTTCTAAATCCCCACAATGTTTATCACTCAGAAGGTACTTTCTCTCTTACTATTTTTAGGATTAATTGATTTGTAAATCTTCCTACATAAAAAGAAAACACTTGGACATAATCAAGTCAGACAATCCATTCCTGCACCACAGCACAGTTACCTTGTTGAGCTACAGAGTCTGCAGTTACACATTTCCAGGCTGATGGGTTGGAATGTTTGTTTAGAGATGCAGTGACCATAACAGACACACAGTAATTTCTATTTGGATACAATTCTTCAATGACAGTACTAAAAATTTCTTCACTGATTTTCTCACGTGGACTCTGCCATGGAAGACAATGTTTTAAAGTTAGCTATTTGTCTAAAAAGACACCCCCACTGATAAAACATTATGGCTGTTTCAGAGAAATGCCGTAGCATGTGAAACCACAAAAGCTGACACAGTAACTCAGCGGTTTACCTAGACAACTGTTTCATCTCTAGTTCTAGCTGCTGTCAAGATGCTTGCCTTATGCCTGTTTGTGAAGTATCTTCTGTCTCCAACTGTTGGTCACTATATGTCCCCTTGAAGTAGCCTCACATAGATTCTACAGATTTGAAACTGCAAGTGATATTCTGATTCAGAGACCAGGGGAAAACATCCATGGCAGGCAAGTTGTGGTCCTTCTTCTGTGACTCATTGCAGAATCAGTTGGACAGATTAAATTCCCAGCGGGTACCTGTCTGACCTGCCATTTAAAAATTTCAGTACAGACAGTCCATACTCTAGTTAGGCAACTTATTCCAGTGCTTTGGCAGCCCAGGTATTAATGTCTCTCTTGATGTTTAACCTGAAATCTGCACAACTGCCAATTTCACTTCCCTGTTTTTGGTTACAGTCACAGTGAATGGTTTATTTCCTCCTTTTCTGTAGTAAATGTTTACATACTCAGAGACTCTGGCCTCTAAGTGTGCTTTGCTTGCTTACACTAAGCAGTCCCCTATTATTCCAGCACTTCCTCACAGGTCATGTGTCAGGATCCCCCACAGTCCTCACTGTTCCTTTTTGGATCCTGGTCAACTGGTCCACGCCTTTTCTGAACCCCAGACTGATGTGGGGTAGGTGGGCTTTACAAACACCAAGTATGTAAAAATATGATTTTTTTATCTCTCAGCAACATGAGAGTCATGTTTAGCTTGTAATATTATAGAATGCTCTCATCCTTTCTGGCAAAACTGCTGCCTGTGGAGCTCTTACCACTCTACTTATTACACAGACAATTATTCTTAAGTGTTATGCCTTGCACTGGCCCTTTTTGAATTATCTCTTATTATTTTAAGATTATTTCTCCATTTTGTGAGGATCATTTTATGTTCTAATCATGCCTATCTACCTTTCCATTTCAGCATACAACATTAAAATTAAATAGTACCAAACCCAAAATAAGTTGTTGCAGAAACTAACTGGATACATTTTTCCAGTTTGACAGAAAACTACTGAACTGCTTTCTGAATGTATTTTCCTAGCAGCTATGCATACACCTGCTAGTAGTTTCTGCTAAACTGTCCTTCCCTTGTCTTCCCAGAGAATAATCACTTCAGCCAGTGCCCTGTGCTTTATTTCAAGTAAGGTTACAGGACAACTAGTATTCCTCTTCCAGGCCTGCTACTCTGCAGTAAAAGGAAGCTAAGGTTCTATCAGCCATTCTCTTTGTTTTCTTTTAAGTATCTTCTATTCACGTTTGCTTCTGTGAATCTGCTAAGCATCAGAGCCATTTTATGCTTTCAGTATTTCTTCCCTAAAGCACAAATAAAACAAAAAGTTCTTTACCTTATGCTCTCCATCAAGTGTTTTCAGTGTTATATCATAATAAAGCTCTTGATATATATCAGTTAAAGACTGTAGCTTTCCATTTTCTATTAAGTAAGATGTTGGCAGCTTTATGGTGACATTTATGCAGTTTAGACAGGAACTGATATTAACTTCTGGTGGTCCCAGGGACGCTATTGAAAAAAAGAAAGAGGATAAAAAATTGTGGAAAAAATACACACTATGTATTCAGTACCAATTCTATTTTGGTGATGGATATATAGCTGACTGATCAGATTCCAGAGTATGTCACTGCTGTAAATCCACAAGCCTTTGCAACATTTAAGTTCCATGGTCAAATGATTTTTTCCCACGTGACTACATTTTAAAAACAGATAGCAGTGGAAGGGAGGGAAGAAGCAGAAAGGTGACAGAGGCTTTGCTTCAGCTCCACAGAGATGTGAGCTTTTTACCTATCTGAGAGGAAATGTGAAGCTATGTATAGGAAAAGCCGATTGCTTTCTTGCTCATCATCATCTTCTACACACACTCTGGAAGGAAACTCTGTAGAAATTCAGTGGTGTGTAGCCCTGCACATATTCATACTGGTGGCAAGCAAGGCTATGGTTCTAAACCTGACAGCTGAACTACAAAGGCTGAAAACTCTACTGAGGGTAGGACAGAGCACCTAGCGAAACATAGTTACACTTCCGTTAGACTTCCATTGAGTCCAAAGTAATGTCTCAAGTTCAGGTTCTCAGAACATGTACATGTTTGAAGAGCCATGCACACTAACTGTCTCCTCTCTCCAAAACTACACATCCATCAAGATCAGAACTTCCGTAGTGAATGAAGCCTAAGATCTTCTTTCCTCCAACACAGAAAAGAAGCAGCAATGTTGGAAAATGGTGTGAGAACAATCTCCATAATCATCCATTTCTCCATAGTACATTGTGGAGGAAAAAGGAAGAAAAAATTAGAGTTTGCATTTCACTTTTGTCTTTTCCAGAAGTATGTACTTTTTGATCAAGGTGCAGACTGGTTTTCCAATGCCTGCAAAATTAAAAAAAGCAATACACATTTGCTAACGACTTCTGTTCCTGAAATAGGGTAGAAAGCAAAAAAACCCCACCCATTTAATACTTAGAACAAATGTGAGCTTTCATGTACTTTCAAACAGGAAAGCATGTCCTAGTCAAATGACTGCACACTTAACTCCTTTCTCATCTTTTGTTTTAAGTTACAAATAAACATTAGCCAACTCTGGTTACAGTCAAATGTGGTTGTTTTCCTGGCTCTTTGTTATGAAGCCTTTCTGCCTTTGCTCAAATCCATCTGTCAACAAGAGTGATTCCACCACAGGTATCTGAAGGGAGATATCAACTACACCCAGCAGGGAAGTATCTCAGAATAGTGATTCTTTCTTATTCAGGCACTGTAAACCAAGAAAAGACTACAGGGTCCATGTAAGTCCCGTGCCCTGGAAAACATGACTTCATGCAATTGCTTATGTTTTGAACTAGAGAACTACTAGCAAAACATCCAATTTCAATTTACAAGTTGCCAGTGATGGACAATCAGTCAGAGCACCTGACAGTTTGTTCCAGCAGTCAATTCAAAATATGCCTTTTATTCCTAGCTAAAATTTATCTAGCTTCAGCTTCCAGTCAGGGCATGCTGTTATGCTTTGTTTACAAGACCGAAGCAGCCTGCCATCATATTAACTAGTGGTCAGTGCACCTTCTGATCCTTCCCTTTATTAAACTAACTGCTGAAAGACTGAAGGCCTCCACCTCAGAGGGATGTTCGCAAATCCTTCAGTTATCCTTGTGGCTATTCTCTCCATTCCCTCCAACTTTTCATCTTCTCTTAGACTATAAGTGGACACAGCAGTGGCTACCTCTGTGCTGAATTCAGAACTAACATGACCTATTTCTTCTCCATAGTCCTCCAATTGTTCCTCAATCTCTGTCTCTGTTACTTCAAAACTGAATACTAAGCGCAACTAAGAGTGAAGCCACCTCTGGCATTAGAAGATGTCACAGCTAATAAGCATCTTCTTTCAGCAAGGAAAGGGAAAAGAGCAGGCTAATGAACAAAGAAATAAATCTCTTCCCCTACACATAGTGCAGACATGGTGTTTCTTGAACTCTTATCATTGACTACCTGAAGACATAAAAACAATGTTGTTGGGTTTTTTTTTTAATGTATCTTACGCACATAGAAATTTTTACTTTGTAGCTTGACATGATGTTATTTCCTCTATATTTACCTACATTTTTATTTCAAAACCAGAACCATGTCCATTTATCAGAACTACTGTAGCCACTAATTTTAGAAAGCTACCTATGTATTACATGTCTTGTAACTGATATGTGATAGATTATATACAAATTCATATTCTCTTAGATAAAGGAATAAGCTACCGACCAAGTTAGTTTGGAGTGTCTTACTGTAAAGCTAGCAGAATATCATTTATGTATCAGCTACAAATAAAAACTACTAAAATGAGCACATGCAGAGAACTTACTGTCAGTAAGTGGCGCAAAAGAAAGTAAAGAAGAATTGAATACTTCAGTTCCTGTGAAGCTCTGAACCAAGGCAGAATACTGAGCGTAAATGTCTTCAAAATCATCTGTCAGATTACAGAAGAGTTGTGTAATAGCCGAACATTGTTTAGCAGTCTTCCAGTTCCTGTGAATCAAAACAAGTTAAAAGAAGATCAAAATAATCTATCTGGACTCTCTGATATAAGAAAGCATTGGGGGGATGGGGAGAACGCATTTCTGAGTGAAAAAACAGACAAACAGGAAAACCCCAGCCTTAGTATTCTGAGCTGATAAACATTAGAAGTAAAATTTATGTCTTCTAAAATAAGACTTGCCTGCGGTCAGTGTACAGCACGCGATAGTATGTTGGCACAGTTGGATCACTTTTTGCCTGCCAGGACAAAATGTGCTGAAAATTGCGAGATTCCATTTGTAGGTTGTGAGGTGGCCCTCCCAGAAATCTTTCTAGAAAGGGGGGAAAAAACCAGAAACAAACAACCCACCAATATGAATGACAATCAAATGTGAGATTATAACAATTCTAATCAATAAACCAAATATTTGCCCCAAAATAAAGCAATCATAGAACAGAGTTCACCACAATAGAAATAACAATGCAAAGGACTGTCCTCCTGTATTACATTTCTTTTAAGTTCTTTCTTCAAAAATCATGACATTTTAAAATGATGCTTGGTGAGAATATGCAAGGTTTTTTTGCACTGCATTAGGAAAAGCAGCTGAAAGACAATAAAAACTCTTACCAGGCAAGCTGCAACAAGCCGTAGACAGAATGCTGATGTACACTGGAAAAGGAAACTACGTATTAATGCATTTGCATGTCTACGATATCTGATTAGTAGCTTACTATTGGCAATATTAATTTGCAACAATTAGAGGCAATACTCAGTATTCCTGCAGTGGAACTGTTTCTTTCTTTCACATCATCTTCCCACTACTTTCCTCTACCTCTCCCTCCTTCCTCAGAGTATGGCATGTCTGCTTCCAACATCTTGTCATTAATGTGAGGCTCCTAAGAGCTAATTCTTTGATAACTACACTGTGGTTCAGGCTTATGCAGATCCCTGCCAGATGAGGTTCAAGACTCATTGTGAATAAACGTACTTAAGATGTTCTGATCAAGTATTGTCTTAGAGGAATCTGACTGTATTTCAGGCAGTTCACTCTGTTAAACACCATTTTAAGTCACGACAAGAATCTTAAGACTGGCCTGGGAAAAAATACTATTACTGCTTGATTACTGAATCATCTACACAGATGTTCTCCTTTGCTAAATGTGGGGAGTCCTCAAGGCTGTAGTTTAACCACTTTGGTATGTTACTCACTGTCTTCAGTCAGCTAACTCCCGTAACTCCCTATTTCAGGCTCTATTTCAAAACTCCCTCTCCATTTTGTGTCCTGTTTGTGTAAGATTTCCCTGTGGGTGTTTAACTCTACAGAAGTCTATTGTCTGCCTGCAGAAGGTAAGAAAAAAACCCCACCAACAGATGCTGCAACACTTCTCCTGTCACAGGGCATGGTTAAGGCCAAATTTAGCTTGTCAGTCAGGGCTACTGTCCAAGTAATCTCTTGAACCCAGCCTTCTTGCAGATCCTGACATTCTAGAGGTCTCCACATCTTCTTGTGGAACCTCCCTAAGAGACTGTCCATTCATCCAGATTCTCACTGTATCCAGAATTCCCTTCCTTGACCAACCCAGTCTTGCATCATTCATACCTTTTCAGCACGATGCTTCAAGACACTCTTGAAACTATCATTCTGACCCTTCTAATTTTTTTCTCAAGATCCTTTAGCTCCTTTCTGCTTTGTGAGTGCAACAAGTATAAATTTCCTGTCTTCATTTTAAAGGTATTTTGTGGCCTATCCTCCTACTGATGAGATGCTGACTCTCATACTCAGTTGGCCAAAGAAGTTATTAGTTTCATTTCAAATGTGCATGCTTTTTCCCATGCTTTAGAGGAACTCCATGGAAATATCTGCAAAATTACTTCATTATTTTCCCTAAAACTCTTCTCTATGAAACTCTCTTTTGTCATGACACCTAAACCTTCTACCCAAAAATATGACAATACCCAAAACACCACTGGCCTGCTACCTCTGTTAAACTGTGCTGATTAATACTGCCTTAACATGTTCTTTTATTCTCCTCATCTCACTTAGAATGGTAACTTCTGTAGCATGAGGAATGTCTTTGACTGCACAGCAACTAATGCAGCAGCACTCTGGTCCACAACTGAGGTTCTCAGGTGCCACACTACAACAAATAACAGAACAAAACTACTTACTGTGTCAACAAGATGTGCCACAGTTAAGAATGACCGTGAAAAGATAAAAGAAATCTGGTACACATCTCATAAAAAATTAAAACAATATTTATGGAGATCTAAAAATAATGGATAGGACAGGATCTCACAGAATGGTTGAGGTTGGAAGTGACCTCTGGAGGTCATCTGGTCCAACCCCCAACTATGTGAAACACAGTACCAGAATACTTACTCCTGAGGGATTCAGAATAGCAGTGGGTCAGTGGGAACTATGCTGTCCCAGACACACTGGCACTACTTCCTAATGGATTAATGCAGTTATTTTATGATTCTTGTCTACTTTTGCAGAAAGTACTGGAAAAGGAAAGGGAACATTTCTTCCTCAATTAATTAAAGAGATATCTGCACAGAATCTTTATGGCTGCAGAGAAGTGCCTTAAAAATTGTCTTTTAATTAGCAGTGGGCACACACAGAAGCACACACAAATACACTTGGGCACCTAAGTTTGTTGAAATCATTTGTGATGGATACTTAGCCAAGTATCTCTTATAAATCTGGCTCTTCAGACATCTGTCTCAAATACTAAACCATGCTCCCAGCACTCCTTCTGAAATTAGATGCAAAGAGGTTAAGCAGCTCACTTGAGTTTCACATGCAGCAAATTTATATTTCCACAAGACAGAAAATTCATTTCTCTTCAGCTTCATTTTGCCATTGAAACCACAGACATCCTCTCTCTTGTATGTCTTCCTTTCGCACTTTTTCTTCTACGTTATTACTAAATAATAAACATCCCCTTAGAGAAGTGCAGATAAAAGTAGAACGATTGATTTCTTGCCATATAGTAACAGATCACCTATCTGGAAGAAACATCCAGTGGGTATGAATAACAACTCAATACTCTCACTGTTATTATTCTTTACCTGAACACAAGCTCAGATTTGTAATAATTTCTGGCAGGAATTGTCCCTTCTCCCCACAGGCACACAATCTTTAGCACATTAAGGCTATTAGAGAAACAGATCATGTCAGTGCACAGACTCTACTAATGACACACTTCTTTGGAGAAAGCCCTTCAAGTTAAGAGCTGCAGACAGTCTTTTGCCATTCTCTCGTATGCCAGCCACCTCACGTGTCAGCTGTCTTGCTGATGTATTTCCTGTTGACCTAGGTGTTTTTCTATTCTGTCCATATTTGTGACTTTTAAATGCCTCTCCATTCATCTAGAGTTCAAACTACCTCAGAACTTTGTTTCAACAAACATGTTTAGCAAAGATAGCTGGAGAGTTGCAAAATTTTGTAGGCTACACTCTTAAATAAGAGACACAGACAAGAAAAAAAAAATCTTAAGACCAAATAACTGGAAAAATTAAGACTGGAGAAATAAAAGATGGTCTGTAAACTGAATGGGGAATCTTTACCATCTTACCCTTTTTACAGAATTAAATGATCCTATCAAAACAGTTTCTCACTACAACTACAGCTCAGCCAACAAACTATGTTTGTTGTGCCTGATAATCTAGAAACTAAGAAGTCCTGAAAAAAACTTGAATAAGAACTGAAAAAGAACATATCCAACTAAGAGTTCACTGGACATTTAGAGAGGAAGAATGCAGTATGCTGTTTCAAAGCATTTCTTTCTTATGGGAAAATCACGTTTTTTGTGTAGAATGGAATATATAGTCTATAATGTGCTAGAGTCTTGATTCTGTGAATTATTCCAGGGAGAGCTCTATAATAAGATGATGGTATCTTACTTCAGTAACTCAGGATGAGTGCTCGTGAAAAATTAGCAGTACTACTCCTCTTACAATATAAAGGCACAAGCAACTTACCAAGTTGATAAAAATGCATTGGTCCATCCATCAGTGCTTCCATAGTGATCAAGAAATATAACCTACTGATTATAAAATAAACATTTTGCTTCTGTACCTACAAATACATGAAAAACAATCACATTCAGCAAGCCATCTTAGTAAATTACTTGCATATAAAAGGAAGTCTATATACAAAGAGTTACTTTAATCCCTTCAATGTTTGAGCAGAGGCAGTGGTACTGCAACGGTTACTGCTATTGGGGGTGGGGTGGGGCAAGGATCCTCAGATTAGACAGGCAATTTTATGTCAATAGCACTTTCCTTTTTTTACATGGAAAGGGCTCTTACCATTTTCAATAAATACTGAAAGCATTGTATGATTTGTATTAATTCTGCATGAAGATAGCATCTGAAAATTCTATGCCACTCACTCCAACTTTTTAAATCCAATGAAAAAACACATGGCTTTATTTGAAATATTACAAGAACTCATCACTGTTGTAAAAAATGCTTCCAGAAAGAGGGTAGATCAAGAGAGAGGTTGGAAAAAATTATGAAATTAATAATTATAAGGAAGTTATGAAGTTTATGTTACTATTTTTAATACATAATATCTATTAAAATATTCCCTCTCCTTGACATTATTATTTTACTCTATTTATTAACCTTATAGCTTTAATATTCATGGGATCTGGTTTTGAATTACAGGAAGCACTAAGGAACAACTGTGAAACTACAGACAGTTGGGCAAGGGTATAACTATTTCCAAAGCATCTTTTCGTCACATTTAATAGAAATAAATTGTTTTTTTAATTTAAAATTATTTTAAAATACAACTTCAATTATTTTATCTTCAAGACAAACAGATTAAAATTTAAAATTATGACAAAGCACACTACGGTCAAACTTAACACAGTATGTCAAAATCAGATGAATTACAAAGAATCCCTTATCTGAGATGCCAATCTTCACCTGCTCAAAGTTTTAGCCTGAAGTCACTGGATAAATGCTGAGAACCTGTATCTGTGCAACTGGTAATCGTAATTCCACAGACAAAGAGAACGTTCTTTTCATTTCAGTTTGGTTCATTTTATTAATTCATTCAAGCATTAGGAATATTGAGGAGAGATAAAATACCAGTCTTCCTCTTTTAAATCAAAATTTAAAATGATGGCTAAGAAGATAAGATTTACTAGTTACAAAATCTTTTAAGTTTGTCACTGATAACAAACTAGAAAGTGATTTAGTCACACCTATCTATCAAGTCCATTTAGTTTTGGCACTAGTGAATGTGACAGAAGATAAAATAATTTGATTTTCTCACTCAGATCAAATTTACGGATTACACAAGCAGAAACAAATCTTTCTACTTCAACAAGGTTACCACCTTTGCTCAGAAGTCACACAGAAACCTAATGCCAAACAATGTTACTTTCAGTCACTTTAAAGAAGTTACACCCGCAGGTGTAACTGGTTTTTCAGGCTGTTGAAAATTTTCTCTTAAGGGGAAAACGGGGGATCCTGAATTCACTTAGCAAAATATTTCCTTTATGTCTTAATCCTTGCAATTAACCACAAGACATGTTCAAAGCACTCCATATATAGTGATATGCAAGAGATGTATTTGCGTACCTTTAATCCTTGCTGTACATGCTGTCACGAATAACAGCTAACCCACTCGTGGAATCTGAAGTGACTCGTGTATGGCTCTGTATGATGAACACACGTATCTTATGTGATGCATATTAAAATCCAAGTTATGTGTTTAGCACCTTAGAATATGTGAGAAAAATGCGACAAACCAGGTTTATCTCCAAATTTGCATGGTTGGCTAAATAGGGATGTCCTCTGCACATCTATCAATGCCAGTGGAATTCCAGGGGAAAACTGTTTCTGTCAGAACTCTGATTAGCCTTTGTTAACCTTTCCTCTTCAGAGCTTAAGCAATCCCTGGAGAGAAGCCATGGAAATACTAGTGAGTCCAGCCGCCACTCACCTCATAAGCCTGGGCTCACAGTAGCTCCCCTGGGAGCTGCCTGAAGCCCCCAGCACTTTCAAAAACTCAGCTTCGCGCTTCCACATCAGCTTCAGTGGCAGCTCATTTTTAACTTTTAACTGGAGTTCAGGCTGGATTGTTTTGTATTTGCTTCCAATCAGAAAAAGAAAAGCAAGCTTTGAAGTTTTCAAAGTCACTGGCATGTACTTCAGAAAAGGTCTACATCAGTAAAGCAGAAAACACATCCTTTTCTTTGAAACAAGCAGATGGTGCATTTATTTATAGAAATCTGCTTACCAGAATATTGAGAGAGACAGACAGATACCACAGGAGATGTTTCAGGCAGAGAAATCAGTAAAGCAATGTTCTAAACCTACACAGGTAAATACAATGTATGGTTCAACTTTGCTAATGAAACCATGTGAACTGGAGAATTGTACCGTGGGTTGTAACGTTATAACCCACACTCTATTCCTGGCTTTGCTGAGGGACTTTGGGTAAGGGTATCGAAATAATTTAACCTTAATAATCGAAGTCCATGAACCAGAAATGCCTTTTCCACACAGTGCCAGCGGTGCCCCTGGCGCGCCGGACATGGCCCCGCAGGAACCCCGGTGGGACATGCAGCACTAACACGGACCAACAGGGCCCTCGGCTGCCCTTGTGCCGCTGCAGCGCGACAAGGGGGGGAACGACGACGACGACAACGGAACAACGCTTGCCACAACAACCTCTGCCAGAGGCTACCGTTGTCTATTTTTCCTCACAAACTTCCGGCCTTGAACTAGACGATTACCTGAGTCAAAACCATCTACAGTGCCCCTCACTATCGCTAGCGGCAATTCTGCATTCAGTGGCACTGCCGAAAAAACAATGCCAATAACTCGCTGGTCTTCATTCGCGATTCAGCTGGTATTAAGCCAAAACGTGCTGCGAGGACACGGACTCCGGCCAACAAGCCGCCTCCACAACGCGGCCGGCAAAGCGCTAACAGAAACCGGAGACTTTTCCAGGAAATCCCGGCAGCCGACGGGAAGCTGGGCCTGGCGCCCGCAGACACCGCCCCTCGCCGAGGCCCCTAACACGGCCCCAGCCCTCGCTCCGGCTGCTCTAACGGAACACCCCCAACGCCCACAATCACAGACGGGC